CGCCTCACGCTCCCCGGGGCTCCCGCGGGGTCCCTCCCGCTCCGCCGGGCAAGGTGACCTTTCGCTTCCTCCCCGGCACGCGGTGCGAGCCCACAGGTCTCTGCTGCCGCTGCCCCGCGTCCCCGGCTCTGCCCCGGAGCTCCTTCCCGCCCGGTTTTGGGTAACGGGGCGCTGGAAGAGCCCCCCGCCCCTCCAGCGCTGGGCCTGCTCCGCCTCCCCCTGCGGAAAATCGCATCCTTCTTTCACTTTGAGACAGGGCCTGGTTTGGGCTTCGGTCCTCACCCTGACAGTTCTTGTACTGCGTGTGTTAAGGAAATTAAAACACTGTCATCGAAAAAAAAATGCCTTGCTTTTCTTCCCAGGGCACAGCAGTGCGCTACAGAGTTAAAAATACAAAAGCCTTAAAACGTTTGAAAGATTCCTGTATGGTTAGCTTTGTCCCACGAGTTTAGGTTAAGGATGTGATGTACTTCATTTACAGTTCTTAGGGTGATTTCAGGCATGGCTCGTACACACCAGAGGGTTTCAGTCACTGGGATGCTGATCTCTGCTGTGCTTAAGTGTTTCTTAAAGGTCCTTTCATTGGTTCCAAACACCTGTAGATTCCTTTTCTTGCTGACTTTTTTTTTTTAACGACAGTGCAACAAAGATGACTGTATATGCTTTTGTTTGATCTTGAGTTTCTTGTCACTTATATTAGAATAAAAACCTGTAATATAAGCTGGTGGCCCAAGAGCACGAATGCTTAGTCTTTATTATGTGGAATAATAGTATTGTTTTTCAAAATCGTTGAGAAATTTTACAAAGGCAAAACTGTTAAAACACATTTTATGTGAAGCCATGTGACTGAGTGGAATTGAACTTGCCTCTGCTGTTTTCTGTTTCATTTTTCAGAACAGCAGAATTTCACTTTCAGCCTTTAGAAAAAAGTCTTCCATTGCTTGCTTAATTCTGATTATTTAATTTAACTATTAGTTAAATATTTTCACTGCCTTCTTAAAAATAAGTAAAAGTTTAAATGGGGCTGCCTGAAGTCAAGCAAACCTCGTAATGAGAAAACTCTAAATCTTAATGTAAAATTTAAAACATGACTCTTGAAGCTGTTGTTTCCTTCTGTTGTCAGCTGTAAATAAAGAATGCATCTTGCTTTTCTGCTTTGCAGAATTCAATGGTTTAGGCAGGTATTTGGGATTGGGAGAATTTTTTAAACATAAAATTGATAGATCTATTCCATTCTAGCCTCAAGAAATGGCCTACAAGCTTTTTTCATTACTGCACCAGGCTTCACCCTGTCCTTGCAGGAACTATGAGTAGTTTTGCAATTCAGTGGTTGAAAGGTTGAACAGGGACTTGGGGATTTTAATGTCCTGATTACCACAGAAGTTGAAGCAGAAGTGACTGGAGAAGAGTGAAGGGAAATGTTCAGGAGTGTGACCAGTGGTGCTTCTCTAATGTAGCTTTTTCTCTCTTCAGTGCAGTAATCTCTGCTGCCACTTTCAAGACCTGTTGCAGTAACTGTTGATGAGCTATTTTTGGGGCTTGTATCTGATTACTTCCCACACACAGGCTCTCCCAAAAAGGGGTTTGAGTAGGGTGAGTTGCTTCACAGATGTCGTGTAAGAATTCTACAAAAATACAGGAGGCTTCAGGATGTTAATTCAGACCAGGCCGCCAAACCCAGAATGGTAAAAATATTGGCAGCAGAGGTCAAGGAGGCCAGCACAGACTTCAGATCAGCATGGACCAACATCAACAGTTTTGTCCTTTCCTTTTCTGGAGGAGGACTGTAGATTTGCCTTTGCAACAAAATGTGATGTTTTGGTTAGAAAAAGCATGTAAAGATGAACTTCACGTGCAAATGGGAGTGGTGTGTGATCAACAGAGCTCTCTGTGAAGCTGATTTGACACTTACAGGGCATAGGATGAAGATTTTTTTGAGGTAGAAATAAACCTTAGTGCTTTTACTTCTCTTTAGATAGATCACAGTAAGAATTGAAGTGACAGTGATGTCAGCTCTGCTGAGAGTGTGTATTTCAGACAATAATTTTCTTGTTTTTTTCTTTCAGACTGAGACTAATTATGGAAGAGAAATCCAGAAAATGACAGAAAAGCATTAATTTTCCTCTTCTAGGACAGTCATGTTGGAAGGATTGGTAGCCTGGGTCCTCAACACCTACTTGGGCAAATATGTTAATAACCTGAATACAGACCAGCTTTCAGTGGCACTTCTAAAGGGTGAGGGAGGCTTTGTGGTATTTTCTGTACTGTTTTCATATTGTGATTTAGAAAAGCATTATGTTTTTGTAATAACTGGAGGGTGAAATAGAAATAATCATTAATATAGTGTTTAATGTCTATATGAACTCTTTTAATAAAAAGTTTGGTCCTAGAAGTTTGCAATGAACAGTAAATGATTCTATGATCTTTGTTGCTCTTTATCAACACTCTTAAACCAATTTACATAAAATTTTCAAAAGTATTCTTAGCTATCTTAGCATGTTGAATTTATGTCACTTTGTCTTGATACTGTTCAGTAACTTCCCCGTTGAGGGACCGTGGCAGGAAGTGTCCTGCAGCCTCTTACCTTTTAGTGCTCGTAGTTACTCCCCTGTAATCTGCTTTGTGTCATGCTGCATCCACGGGTTTTGTACTTTGTACAGAGTCCTCAAATCCACGCTTTCTGTTCACCCTTTGCTGCTGTTATCTGCTGCTTCTGGTGAGAATGTTTTGCAATACTCCAAGGCTTTTCTCTGTGTGCTTTTCACAATACTAAGAAAAGAAGTATCTGTTTTGAAAAGACAATAAGGAGAGGTTTTATCTGTGGCTACAACAAAATTCAGATCTGAAACCCACAGAAGATTGTTCTGAGATGACCTCATGAAATAGTTTGAGCACATGACATTGGAAAATTAACAAGTGCATTAAGTAACCATTGTGATCGTAACACAACCTGAAGTGGTAGGTTGGTTGTTCTCATTAAATCCCATGTAATTAAAAAAAAAACAATGCCAGTCATTTTAAGCTTACAGTGTTCAAGTTGGCTTTCTTTAACATAGTTTTGCTTAGGAGACTTCTCTTTTTCCTCCACTTTGTATAGGTGCTGTTGAATTGGAAAACTTGCCACTGAAAAAAGATGCCTTAAAGGAGCTGGAATTACCATTTGAAGTAAAGGCAGGTTTGTATTTTGCTTGTGTGTGCATGACAGATATTTTCTAAGCAGGAAGTACTGCATGTTTTAGAGGACCTGTGAGTCAGAGGCTTGAACAAATGAGGTAGCCTGATTTCTAGGTTATTTCTGTTTTAGCTTGTTTGTTTCTTACACTGCTTTTTCTTTGAGTTTTTTCAAGGGTGATAAAGTAAGTTTTCACAGAAATCTTACAGTGTGTCTGTTCTGTTTATTCAGGTTTCATTGGCAAAATAACACTACAGATCCCTTTTTATCGTCCACATGTGGATCCATGGGTGATATCTGTGTCAAAACTGCACTTAAT